TCTGCAGTGTCCTTGTATCCTATCTTTTACAAAGTTGGTGCGTCCCGTACTCGTACTTATCAAAACATGGACCATGACTAATTTAATTTGAGGAACCCCCTCAACCTTTAAGGTTGTTATAGATTACTCCCTCTCAACATTGAAAATTTGATTTAACCTTCTTAACTATTGGGCGTCTCACAAAATCTCGTTGATCTTTACATTTCTTTAAGCAAAGCTTCAAAATGTGAAATGATCTAAGTGCTCATTTGGATAAAAACTTATTTTAGCTTAAAAAACCTTCCAAATGTTAAACGAACCGCTTGAATTATTTGTGGTGTTTTACGTCTCTCTTCTCTCTTTCTCTCTCCTCTCTCCTTTCTTCTCTCTCCTCTTTTCTCTTGTCTTATAAAAATCTAGTCTAATTTTCTTATGGTTGAGAGGTATTTTAGTTTTTTAAGTTACGCGCTTGTCACACGACACGTTAGAATTAACGGTAATAGTTAGGGGAGGCCTTTGGTGTCCCTTCCAGTCAAGAATTGGGGTCTCACAATCACTAGCCAATATGCTTTTCTCTCATGCCTTTCTTCGTTCATGATTCGAGTAAAATTTGTGAAAAATGTCGACTGATCCGTAGACGCGGACGAATTATGGTGATTTGTTTCAATCCGAGACATAAACAGAGACAAGGATAATCTTTCTAAAGTTTATCAAGGAAGGGCATGAAAAAAAAGATAATCTTTCTAAAGTTTATCAAGGAAGGGCATGAAAAAAAAGGATTTGTTTTAACATGAAATGGATATTATCCCCGTATATTTCTGTAAATTTCTGATTCATATTTATGAGATGACAAAATATGACAAAACCTATACCGAGAATTGGTTCGCGTAGGAATGGACCTATTGGTTTACGTAAGAATGGACGTAGAATACCAAAAGGGGTTATTCATGTTCAAGCGAGTTTCAACAATACCATTGTAACTGTTACAGATGTACGAGGTCGGGTGGTTTCTTGGGCCTCCGCCGGTACTTCTGGATTCAAAGGCACAAGAAAAAAGACACCCTATGCTGCTCAAGCAACCGCCTCAAATGCTATTCGTACGGTACTTGATTAGGGTATGCAACGAGCAGAAGTTATGATAAAAGGTCCTGGTCTCGGAAGAGACGCAACATTACGGGGTTTTGGGGGTTTTTTTTCAAACTTTCATAGTTGGAGTGGTGGGGTGTTCATCTACAACACCCCCAAGCATGATGAGGGTCTTCTCAAATTAAGCAACGTGCTTGTCATATGACACGTTAGAATTAACAGTAATAGTTAGGGGCTTAAGTGAGAAAAGTTTGGGGGTTATTTCAGACTTCCATAGTTGAGGGGTCATCTACAACATCCCTAAACTTGATGAGGATCTACTCAGATTAAACTAGATGAGAGGTTTTTTTTGAGACACCTGATAGTTGGGTGGGCTTTCTAACATTTCACATTGTCATCAAGTTGCAACTCATTATGTGATGACTCATGATCTCTAGCTTGAAAAATGTAAGCACATATATCAAAAATAGAAACTTCATCCAAGTCTCTTGGTCTTCCATAGGAGTGGTTAGCAAGAATATGAAATGGCAAAAAGTAGAGAAGGAAAAAGAGAAAAGAGAAAAAGACGAACAAAAATAAAGAGCAAAATGAATAAAAGAAGATCACAATTCACAAAAGTAAGAAATCATAGTAGGTTCTGATTCTGCGCACTCTTTTTGCTGCTAGCTATTTCTCGCAAGTTGCATATATTAGAGGTGTTGATTTTTCTCTCTTTTTAACATGTCATCATGTATGATGGACAGATGAATGATGTGCATATATATTGTAAAAATCATAAATTGGATTAATTTTAGAAAACACCCTCAATTAGGAGAGTGTCTTACAAAAACCCTGTCTAATTTAATTTGAGGAAACTCTCCTTAACTTTGGGGGTATTGTAGATAACTCCATCTCAATCTTAAAAAATTGATTTAACCTTATTTAGTTATGAGATGTCTCACAAAATGCCTCTGATCGTTACATTTTTCTAAGCAAACCTTTCTAACGTTCTTGCTTCAAAATGTAAAATGAGCTACATATCCATTTGGAAAAAACTCATTTCAGTTAAAAAAACCTTTCCACCATTAAAAGAAGAGCTCAAATCATTTACGTTGTTTTTTTAGTCTCTCTCCTCTCTTACTGCAAAAATCTAGTTTAATTTGTTTATGGTTGAGATGTATGTCTTTTTAAGCAACATGCTTGTCACATGACATGTTAGAATCAACGACAATAGTTAGGGGCTTAAGTGAGAAAAGTTCATTTTCTTTTGGGGGGGGGGGGTTTTAATCAACGACAATAGTTAGGGGCTTAAGTGAGAAAAGTTCATTTTCTTTTGGGGGGGGGGGGTTATTTCAAATTTTCAAAGTTGAGAAAGGTCATCTAGAACACCCCCAAACTTGACTAGGGCTTACTCAAATTAAAATAGTTGAGAGGGGTTTTTTGAGACACCCACCCTATAATTGAATGGTAACTCATACATTTCACATGGTCATCAAGTTGCAACTCATTATTTAATGAGTCATATCTTTAGTTTGAAAAATATAAGCAAATGTACCAAATATAGAAAACTAAATATGTCCATCCTGTTTCTTGATCTTCCATAGGAGTGATTAGATAGAAAAAGAAATTGGAAAAATAGAGATGGAAATAGAGATAAAAGAAAGAGAAAAAGTAGAAGAAAGAAGATCACAAAAGTATGAAATCATGACAGGTTTTGATTCTGCGCTCTTTTTGCCGCCAGCTGTTGCTCACAAGTTGCAGATGTTAAAGATGCTGATTTCTATCTATTTTTGACATGTCATCATATATGATGGATTGATGTGCATAGATGTTGTAAGAATCATACATTCGGTTAAGTTTATGAGCTTCCCTCAATTATAAGGGTGTCTTAGAAAATCCCTGGCTAATTTAAATTGAGAAAGCTTCCCTCAACTGTAGGGGTGTTGTAGATAATCCCCTTTCAACGTTAAAAGTTTGATTTAAACTTGAAGGGTGTCTCACAAAATCCCCCTGATCTTTACACTTTTCTAAGCAAACTCTTTAATGTCTTTATTTCGAAATGTGAAAAGACTAAAATACCCATTTGGAACAAACTCATTTCAGTTAAAACACTCCAACCATAAAAGAAGAGCTCGCGTCGTTTATCGTTTATTTTAAGCTACTTTGACCAAAAGATAGGCCTCCCAAACACCCTCTAAATCTTAGAGAAGAATAATTGATATTGTTCATCTAGCTGATTTTTGGTAAATACTCTGTATAACAAATGAGGAACCTTGAGCAATTGTTCCATCATTGCTGGATTATATCAAAGATGTAATTTAGGCATTTGACATATAATTCAGGCACTCGGCATGGGGAAATGTTTCCTAGACATGTCAACATTTCAAATTTTGACAATATGAAACACAGAATTAAAGATACAAAGCATCTTTAGGAGATTCAGGAAAGTAACATATGAAAGAGTTGTTGCTTCTAGGAATTCCTTTGACAAAGCATAAAATGAAAGGTCAGAGATCCTAAAAGCACCAATGCGACATAGAGAGGATGTTTGTTACTGCCAGGGAACCAATACATTTAGTTTATGAAGTTTAGCAAAATTCACAGGTTGATTTTTGTTGGTTGCGTGAAATTGACAGAAGCCAAGTGCTGGATCTCTTTCATGCATGAACAAATGAAGTTAGATCAACTGAAATTGGTGAATGAAGAATCCAGTTCCGGAGTCTGTTGGGTGTATGACATTGGCCCTTCTATGTATTGTAGCTATTCTTTTATTTCTGATCCCCAAAGGATTGGCTGGTTAATTATGGAACAGTTTTCTGGCGAGTAGTTCGCAAACTTTCAGTGATAAATATAACCTGCAATCTTTGTTAGGTGTTGATATTTCATTTTTGGCAAATGAAGATTATGCTTTGATTATTTTCCTAAATAGGTATCTTCTTTAGATGATTCAATTTGTTTTTCTGTGTGGTAGGGTCCACAAGAATCAGAAGATCTACAGAGCACTGCTGATATGACTGCATTTGTGAGTTCTCTTACTTGGTTGACATTGACATTTCACATGATAAGATCCTGCATATACTTTTTCTTCACTCTCCCTTAATTTAATAAAATACATGATAATTTTGGGATTAATTATTAGACATGCCACCATCCATGGGGATTTTTCTAATTTGACTACTAATGATTTCTCTCTGTAAGGAATGCTCTAGTACTCTACCATTTGAATATGTCTTGCTTCATCTTTAAACAAAAGGATTTGTTTTATTCTTGTACATACATTTTTTTTCTTGGTACATTGTTACAGCGCCTCTTATTTATCTCCTCTTTGTTGCTTTCCAGGTTCAAAATCTCCTACTGCAGATGGTGAGTCCATGTTTCTGTTGGAAAAGGCTTTTAATTATAAATGCAGTATACCGGACACGTTTTTTATTAATTGAAAATTTGTATTGTTTGCAGCAATCCAGGTTCCAAGCCATGTCTGAGAACATTGTTTCAAAGAATATCCTTTCCACCACTTTCATTATATCTTTCGGTGTTTTATTTCCCTGAACGTTTTAGCAGACTGTTTTGTTTGTTTAATTTTTTTTTCTTCTTTTCCTTTCAATGCAATTTAGTAAAGGATAGCCATTGCATCTGGTCACTCTGATTATTCTTCACGCTTTTATTTGGCAGTTTCAAAGAATATCCTTTCCACCACTTTCATTATATTTTTCGGTGTTTTATTTCCCTAAACATTTTAGCAGACTGTTTTGTTTGTTTAATTTTTTTCCCTCTTTTCCTTTCAATGCAATTTAGTAAAGGATAGCCATTGCATCTGGTCACTCTGATTATTCTTCACGCTTTTTTTATCAGTTTTGTTTTTCTCTTTCTTTTAGTCCATTATTTTTGTTGCATGTTCTGTGTGGGGGTGCTTGCATTGGTACTGAGTTCTTACCTTGGTTCTAGAAGTAGGTCGATAAACATAGACGCTTGTTCATTAAAATAGTAGTCTTGATATTTGCATTTTTCATATAAACGTTAAATTTCATCAGCAGCTATCAAACATTTGGATTTGGTAAGTAACTCTGTAGTGCATAAAGAATGAAGAAACTAAGAGAGCAATGGTTGACCTGTTGGTTTCAGAAACTTGTCCCCCCCTTGCCTATAGTCTTCTAGTTTGAATAAAAACATAATACTTAAAAGTCTTAAATCTTCTTGGTTCTGTATCTTTGTGCTTCATTGATCTCACTTTGTAGCATATTCCTTAACTGCAATCCACTAGATGAGATGGGAAGCAGGATAGATGAACTGGAACAGAGCATCAATGACCTCAAATCTGAGATGGGAGCAGATACTACACCAGCAAAGGCAAAGCCTGATGAAACCAATACCGGGTCTGCTGAGTGAATGTATGTTGAGAGGAATTCTATTTGAGCAGTATATGTTTTTATAGACACTTAAATTGACTTGTTTTTTTGGTCAATACTGCTACGATAGTTCGACAAGATTCTTTGTTGTGAGTGGTCTGTGATTGTTGTGGGGGTTCTTCGTATTTCTTCTGTCCTGTGTTTTGTTTTCCTTTCCACAATTTTTAGTCGAAGTAAAACTGTGCTTGCATTTTCTATGTTGTTTAAGGTGTACATTACTTGAATTTGAGACGCATTTCTACTTTGGAGCCTGAAATTTAACTATCATGATCTTATGGTTACACAATTTACGATTGTTGGAGAATAATGTATGAGCCACAGTCGTGTTGGCAGTCGCAATCGAGATATGAACAACATATGAATGATCCACGTCCACAGCAATCATGTTTGCTGCGCAATGAAATATGAATGAATGGTCTTGGTAAAAATGGAGATGAGGAAATTGCATCATGGGTATGGTCAATATGGATACCCCCATCTATAATGACATATTGTGGTTTAACTCGGTTTGTGGTTTCTTTCGGTATGCATGATGTGTTTTTTCATTGAGAGAACAAACCAAGGCATTGTATGCTATCTTATATCAAACTCTGATTAATCATGATTGAAGTTTCTTTCAGGTAGCATGTGCTCATACTACAATCATAATTGGAAAACAACTTAGTAGAGGACCTATCGAGATCCTAATAGCTATTTCAATGATCTGGGGAGCTAATTTCTAAATGACTTAACAATTGAGGGATCTAATAGCAAGTACTGCCATTTGAGGGTTTATTATCAAAATATGAAAGATTTAAGGGACTAATACCAAAAACCGATGCCATGAACTGATACTATCTGAGTTCTCACCATTAAGGGCTTGTTTGGATTGAGCGGAATGAGGGTGAAGGGAAGTTAGGGGAACACTTAGGAGGTGAAGTTAATTCACCCTAGTTCCCCTTGGTTCACCCCTTAATAGTATAAAATTTGTTACCCCCCAAATTGGGGTGTAACCAAGGGGAAGGGAACTCCCTTCCCTTCCCTTCTCTCAGTTTCCCTTAACTTCCCTTCACCCCCTACAAATCCAAACAGGCCCTAACAAGACAAGAAAATAGAAGCGTAATTATCAACACTAAGGGGCTGTTTGGTTCGTTTCCTTGATATAGAGAAATGCAATTCCATGTAAAGAAACACAAGTTTTGAGTTTTCCAAACTTTTCCAAGAAATAGATTGTTTTGCTTTGGTTCGCACATAAAAAATGCTGGGAAACCAATGTATTTATTTTTCTTGTGTTTGGTTCGCATAGAAAAAAAAGGAAAACTTTTGTAAACAAAGCAGAGAAGGAAAAAAAATCTGACGTGGCAGAGTTTTCATCAATTTCACTTGGTTGGGGAAGGAAATCGAAGAGGGGAAAAAATCTTAGTTGGCGGCAATTTCAGCAGAGTTTTCCCTCTTCCATTCGAGCGAACCAAAGCGGCACAAAGAAATGGACGGAAATAAAAAAGCTGACGTGGAGGACTAAAAATCTGACGTGGAGGGGTTTTCTTAGTTTTCCAGCCATTGTAATAGCGAACCAAACGGCGCCTAATTGACCATGACTCAGCCGAAGTCCTCTTTTTTGTATACCTACAGAAAAATTCTAGCAAAACACGAAGAAAACAAGTTATGGGTTCAGTTGAAAACAAGCATCTCCGGCTCCCCCTGATCGATTTCTCCGATTTAGATCCACAAAACCCAGCAACCCAAAAATGGGCCATCGCAAGATCCCAAATTTCACAGGCCTTGGAGGCCCACGGCTGCTTCGAGGTCATCTACGATCGAGTCGGGCCTGAGCTCCGACAAGAGCTCTTTGGGAGAGTGATGCCTGAGCTCTTTGATCTTCCACTGGAGGCTAAGCAGAAGAATTCTTCTTGTTTTGGGAAGTATACGGGTTACATTGGTCAAATACCTGGATTGGCTTATGAGAGCTTGCGTGTGGATGCTGCAGCTACAGTCGAAGGGCTTCAGGGATTTGAAAGGCTCTTGTGGCCTCAAGGCAATCCAAGATTCTGGTATGGGTTGAAATTTTTGTGAATTTTGTGTTAGTTTTCTTGAATGATGAATTGGGTTCTTTGTGAAATTGCATAAAGTTAGAGATTGTTTAGTATGCATACAACATGCTTGACAGAATGGCTAACTGAAAACTTTGTTAATTTTGTTTATTGTCTTTTTAACCAACATACTACCTCAAAACACCAATTTGTATGTTAGAAATACCAATTCGTACATGGCATAACATATGAATAACAGTAAGAACAAATTGAAGATAAATGTATGATAGTTATCAATAATTAATAGGGTGAAGTTTGTAAAGTTAAAATGAATATTGGGGTTTGTACACGAAGCTACAATAAGGTATTTTGTTTAGAGCAAAAGTACCAAATACTTTCAAATCTGCAGAAATATGTCATATACTGTCTGAATTCAGAAAACGATTTGCTTGTTTTAGTTTTATGATAAGTATAAGTTCATAGGGTTTATTTGAGAATAACATGAAGTTGATGGTGGTTTAGTGACGTTATTTGAATTTTTTGGTAGTTTTGTACAACATCAATAAAATTCCTGATATTTATTTCATGGACCGATTTGAAATTTGTGATAATTTTTTAACAAAGATAGTTTAAAATTATTTTCGTAAAACCCACGGAGTTCATGATTGTTTAGTGAAATTTACTCGGCATGCGTACAATGAATTTGACAGAATGACTAAGCGAAACTTGAAAATTTAACCAATTTACTATCTCAGACTGTTAACTGATACCAAAGGAACAAATGCTAGAACTGCAAACTCATGCACTGTATAACAACTATATTTCATATCAACAAATAAATCACATTATGCACTATAAACATCATGCTACTACTAATAAACCTGAAAGAAACACGCTCCAGCTTTATCACATTACAGATCAGTTATTGTTCATCATCGAACAACAAGTACCCCCATTCTGATGCTTCACATCGTTTCACCCTGATCTGTCCTCGGTGGATTGATCATATGAGAACAAAGAGAAGGGTGGATTTTGTACGGGCATAAGTAACAGTCAAATGTATTCTAGTGATGTTTTGAGATTGTGATAGGTTAATGTAGATTGTCTTTATTGGCAGGCAAACACTGTGGCCTAGGTGCATGAGAGCATACTTTTATGCCTGAGAAGTAAAGTGGTTGTCTGATAGGGGAATTTGTAAGTAGAAATAGGGTAAATTTCACAAAAAATAAGTAACTAAATAACTAACTAAAACTGAAATTTTGGTGGTGTTGCTCTAAATCCCCTTGAATTTGTTTATTCCACTAATCCTCCCTGAATTTTAGGGGTTATTGCATGTAACCCTCTTAGAACTTTTTTATTCCTCTAAATCTCACCAAAAACCTCTCATTTAACACCCCAAATTAGCACCATCAGCTCTAATGTGTCGTGTCGCAAGCACATGACAAAAAAAGATGTAAATTCCTTCTTGGCCTATAAACTACTCTTTTACTAAAAAAATTTGATTAGTTTGTCATTCAAAGCCCGGTCTTGATATAAAGGTGACTGCGACAAGTTATGAGATGGTTGGGGGACACCTGAACTTAGAACTTTGCATGTGCCAAATTATACAATAGTGACAAACTTATGAGTTGGTTGAAGGATATAGAAATTCTTAAACTTATCCTTGTATGGTACAAGACATATTGATTATAATCAATGTGTGAATCAATAATCATTATGCATCATTATGGATATGCCTTTTATTAGCATAATGTCAACTTTCTTGATACATGCTTTCACTTAAACTATATCCATGTTGATGCCGGCCACTAAAAAAGGGTATCCGCAAGTTTATTTACTTTTGGATTCTCCGAAATTTAGATTCTCAAGAAATGTATTATAGTTGTAACATAGAAGTCCAGCATCATTATGTAGCTTACAACATTTTCTCTTTATATGATCTAGCAACACAGTATGGACCTATGCAAAGCATATGCAGGAGTTAGCAAAGATGGTTCACAGAATTGTCCTCGAGAGTTTGGGCGTAGAGAAGTATTATGATTATCACATTCAACCGAAAACATCTGCACTTCGTTTCTCAGAGTACGATGTTCCCTTGGATCAAGAAACAAAGACCGGAATGTTTGGCCACTTGGATCCAAATATGTTGACCATAATCTGCCAACATAAAGAAGGGCTCGAGGTCCAAACAAAGGAGGGTGAATGGATTCATGTTGTCCCTTTAACAAACTCCTTCACCGTCTTGATTGGGGAAGCATTTAAGGTCTCTTCTTGTTATATCTTTTCGCGACATTTTACATTATTTACATTTCCCTGTCAAATTGCAAATATTAAATAGGGTAAATTTCACAAAGACCCCCAAAACTTTGGGCGTTTTCCACAAAACCAACCGAACTTTGTTTTTCCCACAAATCCGCCAAAACATTACAGAGTTCAAATAA